TTTTTTGATTTTCGTTTTTGGGGGACGGATACCGGGCAAATTCTCGTGGATCTGGTATGACGGCAGATATGTTAGATTGTGTAAAAATAGACAGTGGCAGTTGGACAGACTGAATAGCAGGCTTTAAACTGTGTTTAAGTAGAGGTTGCCTGCCTACCCCACTTGTGAGGCTGAGGATTTTGCATGCGAGTAAGTGGTAGGTTGAGGGCTAGCCTGTAAACCACAAGCAATCATCAGGGTCATATTATTGACTAATCACTATAATCAAGACCCCCTGCTTCCTCCCACCCCCGCGCACGCAAAGACACTGTCAAAAACAGAGTAGTCATCTTGTAGCTCAGCTCAGCTGCTTTCATGCGTGTTGGACACAACATTGCACATTATAGAGGAACTGGATATCATATAGTGTGTCTTTTACTCAGCAAAAGCTTGACAAATGTGAGAGTTAAAGGGATACTTCAGGATTTAGCATTAAGCTTTGTATTAGCAGAAAACCTGTAGTATTTTCGAATTACCATGCTTTACACCCTCATATCCCCGTGAGACGAGAGATTTATGTATTTTTTGTCTGGAAAAAATCATCAGATGACACAAAAATTGTCATTTTGCATCATTGGAAGATTTTTTGGCCAGAGGCTTAAGACTACAGCCAGTACTAGGGGCTGTCCCGCATGTTCTCAACCTGCCCATAGAGGGTGGGATCTCACTCATAGAATGTACACATAGTGTCAGCCATTTTTAGAAGCTAAGCTAACAGGCTCTTGTTCTGTGGAGAAAGCTTAGTAACCTGAGTCCCACCATTCCTCCTCTTTTTCCCACACATGTCCGGGATTTAGCTTTTGCTTTCTGCAGTCGCCATTCATTGTTCTAGAAAGCTCAAAATTCAAAATTTCTTCTACATAAATGACCCATTTTATATACACATTCATCTTTCCAGAGGTGAAGTATCCCTTTAAGCTCCAAATTAACCTATCCTATAAAAAAAAACACAATCAAACAGATCCCATGACACCCCTTTATAAATAACCCTTCAGTATCGATCAAGACATTCTTGGGTTTCCAGACAGAGTTTCTCCTTCCTCTCATGGCTGTAATGATAACAATATTCTCCAGAAATAATTTAACCTTCAATTTCTCTCTGGAAGAGAGGTGTCTTCTGAGGAGATAAATATAGGACGATTCATTTAGAGTTTTACACCGCATAACAGTTTAATTGACAGTATCCAAATGCACCTCTTAATCCTCAATTTGTTTGACAAAAGTTATAAGTTTGCTCACTTACATCAGAAAGGTGTTTCTCAACTAGTCCAGCAGAGAGAAAACGGGAACAAGGGTCTGTCTAACAATAGATGTCAATATAGTTTGTGCATGGATGTTCCTGAAAGAAGATCTGAAAGCTTGGTCTGTTGTAATTGTTTGTGAGAGAACACATTACTGAGTCATTTGAGCATCCCAGCAAGGTTTGCAGATAAAAAAAGATGGATTTAACGCTCTAATTCCTAAAGCACAGGGCATTTGCTGGATAAGTGGTTTGTATGGTGAAGGAGCTGTCCGTGGTGCTGGTCTGAAAAATGAATCGGCTTTACCAAACATTCAGAAAAATTTCCTGGACTTTGACTCACATGTGAACCTTAGACTTTTTGCAATAGGTAGCCTAAATCCACCTCACCAGGCAGATTAAAAGGCAAATCCTCATGTTTGGCCATGATTGCCCTCAGTTTTCCCTCATATGTATTATTTGTGATTATTTTCAGATCCTCAGGTCAGTCCCGAGACAATAATTCTCTGGGCAGTGAATTTGAATGAAAAAAATCGTCCAGGTGTTTTTGTACAAGCTCATCATAAGGGCCAGATGTTTCAAGGACCAAAGCAGCGAAACCTAGTAGAAACCTAAACCAGCTTTACAATACACCATTTTTTTACTATTTTTTTCACCATTTTTTTACTTTTTTTTTTACTATTTAAAAATGTTTAAAAAACAGTGTGTACAGTCATGTAGCCTACATTGTGGGTCTGGTTTGGTGGTCTTTTGAAATTCTACATATTCAACGTTGAGATGCTGCAGCTCCCTAAAATGAAATTTAAATATGAAGTAAAATTACTTATTTTTTTCCATCTTATTTATTTTCGTTTATTACACAAACCTTTCTGGAATTCCCGAATCTGTTTAGTAGGGCCAACTAGTGGTCAAATGTTTCATAATATTAGCCGTTGTTCATTCCCTCGCAGCAGATAGGCTGCGCTCTCTTCTTTCGTAAAAATGCTACGCCATCTTGCTTCTCAGTTTGCGATTGTCAAAAATTTACTTTAGTAGTAATATAAACGTATTATTGTTGCAGGTTTCTTCTTGTTATTTAATACATTGTAATCGATTGATTTTCTTTCTTAGCAATAGCTCAATAATAATATAGGCTACAGGTACAGGTGCTGGGTTGTTTTAACCCAATTTTGAGTCAAATATGGACAAACCCAAATGTTGGATTAAAAAAATGCAATAAATAAATTTAACCCAACAGCTGGGTTTGTCCATATTTGACCCAAAACTGGGTTAAAACAACCCAGCATTTTTTTTTAAATAATAACACAGCCTATATATATATAATGTTGATTTCAACTGCCATTGTACTATTTTATTATTATATTATTTGTAGGCACCTTAGGGCTATATGACACTCAAAGACACCTTACAAACAAATAATCATTATTACTCCCTGGATACAAGTATATAATTACTCACATAAAAGCCTGCCTAAAGAGATACATATTCACATTATTAACAACATAGCTGTCAGACAAAAAAATAAATAAAATAAAATAAATGAGCATCCTTTGTTTTTAGTTTGTTCCAAAAAGTAAACTCTTGAATGAACCCCCACTAAAATACTTAAAAACAAGCAATGTTCTGACTTTAATGTGACTTTAAGTTTGAAGGACATGAATTCCCTGCCCAATGTGTTGCCGCCGTCAGCTCATTAATCAGTTTGAGGGTTTGGGAAAAAAACATTTATATCAAGGTACGTCATACAGGCCTCAGTGTAATGCCTTTGCTGACACATGTATTTGTTCTCAACACGAGAGACAGGAGCGATAAGTACTGAAGGAGAAAGGCAGGAGGATTAGTTAACTGTCCTCATCTGTGGATCTGTATAAACGTGATTACATGGGCAATGATCTCAACACAGGGAGATGTCTGGCATTAGGCCATGGCTTATGGGTATAGGGAAGCACAAGAAGCACCAAGAGATCCTTCATGTCACCTAACCCTATTTTAACTCGGTCTTAGAGAAAGGGCACTACCATGCTGATGTCAGAAAACTCTTGTTTACGTTTATTCCTTAGGGATGAAGTGCGTTCTTTGATTCAGAGGCATTTAGAAGTATTGCCATGTTCGTTTTTTTTATTTATTTTCAGAAAGAGTTTGGAATGTAAAAAAAAGAAGAACTAAAAAATCACACAAACTGAATTGGATCTCATTTGGATGAAATATAAATTGTCCTGTAGAGTTACCTCATTGACCCTCTCCTTAGGGATTAAAATCAGCACTTTTTTAACTCTCATCTTCGTGGGTACGCCAACCTCTGACTGGACTTTAGGTCTGTTGGTCACGTTACTCAACACCTGGCGGGGACAATCCCTGCGTCAAGCCATGGCAATTACAGCCTCCCTGGGGGCTATTCAGAATTTCTCATATTTCTTTGCTTATACTTCTACTTCATTACACAACGTCAAACACGTCAATCAGCAAGCACATGCTTTTATTTGTGCCCCTGACATTTGTTTAGCCTGCCTCACCAGTTGTTTAACATGCTCTAGCAACACTCAATACTTGGGTAATCAATGACAACAAAGCACTCGGTTTTACTACACAAATGATATTGGTGTAGCAAGTGTAGAAATAGTTTCAGACACTGCATTATTCAAGCCCTCAACAAGACTTTTGAATTAACCTTGTCCAGAGCATTCATTCTCGTGATGTAATTGTATTGTTGTAATCGGAACATTGTGACATTTGTCACTCTTGTTTGAGACCTGTATGAACCTCGCAAAAGGTGTTCACATTGTCGTCTGTGTGAGAGGACATTTCAGGATAATTGTAATAGGATTGAGTTTCTATCTATAGTAAGGATATGGAAAGGTTAGGAGCAGTTACTCAGTCTTTCCCCCACCCCTCCCCCCACAAGGGAAGAATCAACCTGTAATCTCTTTAGTCTTCCTTAAACATTGTAATATTAAGCACACTAGTAAAGAATAGTTGGCTGGCAAATTTTGACATATTGCTGATCGTGTGAAATTAGCTTAATCATCCATTCCTCTGAGGATCATATACTTTTAAGAGATTTGAACAATTCAAATGACTTCTAATGTCTTGTCAAACAATTGTGGTGAAGAAGTTGTATAAAATGTGCTGAATCTGTCAAAGTGTGTTATGACATCTCTTTCATAACGGTATGTGCGGCATCCACAATGACAGGACACTGTCAAGGTCAGCTGTTTTATTCTCCACCCTGGATCATTATTAATCCCCTCTTAATGCAGTTCCAGTGAAGGAGTGCTCAGCGTCCTGTCAGTGCCACTACCTCCATATTCTAACAAAGCAGTGGATGAATAAGTGCTGGTCAAAGCCATTTGTGAATTGATGTGCAGTAGGAGAATGAGAGAACAGCCGATGCAGATCACATTATCCTAGGATGAGGGCACAGTCTCTTTTTCACTTTCATTTCTGTTCTCACTCAGTCCAATTAGCATTTGCATAATTCCAAGAAATGTCACTCATTCTTAACTGAAAGTTTTGAATATCTGCAACACTTCAAATCTAAGTTTAAGTATTATACATTTTGATATGCTTTTTTTCTTCTATATTCTTTGTGGGCATAAAGTGGCCACAGTTTTTTGGACACTCTTGGAAGTATATGTATATAAATAAAGATGGGATGTAATATATGTACATTTAAAGTCACATCACTAAACAGCATTTTTCTTTCTTTTCTTTTTTTATGCAGGTTCTGGCCATAATATCAATTCTGTTCATCATACTCTCAACCATTGCACTGTCACTGAACACCCTGCCTGAATTACAAGTGATTGATGAATTCGGAGGGTCCAACGACAATCCAAACCTGGCCCACGTTGAAGCCATTTGCATCGCCTGGTTCACTATGGAGTACATTCTCCGCTTTTTATCTTCTCCAAACAAGTGGAAGTTCTTCAAAGGGCCTCTGAATGTCATTGATCTGTTGGCTATCCTCCCTTATTATGTCACAATATTTCTCACAGAATCCAACAAGAGTGTCCTCCAGTTCCAGAATGTGCGCAGGGTAGTTCAGATCTTCCGGATCATGAGAATCCTGAGAATTCTGAAACTCGCGAGACACTCGACTGGTCTTCAGTCTCTTGGGTTCACTCTGAGAAGAAGTTATAATGAACTCGGGCTGTTGATATTGTTTTTAGCCATGGGCATCATGATCTTCTCCAGTCTGGTGTTCTTTGCTGAAAAAGACGAAGATGCTACGAAATTCACCAGTATTCCCGCTTCATTCTGGTGGGCAACAATTACCATGACAACTGTGGGTTACGGGGATATCTATCCCCAAACCCTCCTGGGCAAAATAGTGGGTGGCCTCTGTTGTATTGCTGGTGTGTTAGTAATTGCTCTGCCCATTCCTATTATTGTGAACAACTTCTCTGAGTTCTACAAAGAACAGAAGCGACAAGAGAAGGCAATCAAACGAAGAGAAGCACTTGAGAGGGCCAAGAGAAACGGGAGCATCGTGTCGATGAACCTGAAAGATGCCTTCACTCGCAACATGGAACTACTGGACGTTGTGATCGAAAAGAATGAGGAGAAGGGCTCAGACAATCATCTTTCACCCAGTCGCTGGAACTATCAGAAGAGCCCAGACTTCGGTTCCAAAGACGCAAAATATCAAGAAGTAAGACAGTTGGCTTCTCCAGATCGGTTATTCAAACCTAATTCAAGCCCTCAGAGGCTAAACGCAAAATCCCTTGAACAAATGTACAACCAGATGACGGCCGCCTCATCCATGAGCAGCAGTGGACCTTCGGCTTCCAAAGCGACCACTGTTGGTAAAGAAGAACAGATGGAGATGAAGGTAGTGCAGTGTGAACCACGGGTCAAAGAAAGACCCATCACTGAGATCCGAAGCGTATCCAGCGTCGACAGTTTCGCCAGCTGTGCCACAGACATCAGTGAGGTCGAAAAAAGCGCACTACTGCCCAGACATCCTCGCGCTCCTCCGCCACTCGACCTCAGCCAGATCACCTCCCTGGAGAAACGAGCATCTGACAGAGAAAAGCAGGCCACAATCATTAAAGAAGGCCTCTACGAGTTTGTCCCGTGCAAGTCAGACAGCTGCACCGTGTCACAGGGTGAGGAGAACCAAAGCTTCGATCCGAGCGGTGAAAACGTGAGGAGCCCTCCACAAGGAAACCAAGTCAAAGTCAAGGGACTCAAAGTGAACTTCACCGAATCTGCAGACGAAGGGGCTTCCAACTTGCACTTAGTCGTGACGGATGACGCGGCCACACTGACACCAAAGCTACCGCTATCTGACCCATTACTGCTGGCGGGTTCTCGGCAGAGTCCCAGGTCCCCGGGGAAAGGCTTCGAAGGGGATGGAGCCACAAGCCTGTCGTCTTCTGAAAGCCAAAGAGGGAGAAACCACGTCGATAGAGCCGCTGTTACTCCCACGTCCCCTAAAAGTGCACAAAACTGTGCTTCTGCAACGGTTGGCGCCGTTGGAGTGGAAGACGGCATTCAAAGTGGACAGAAGGTGGACAACCACCTCCTTTCCCCTGATATTCTGAAGTCTTCAGGGGATGGAGGTCGCTCACCACCATGTGAAACTAGCATGTGATGTGATGAGATGCATTAACATGCTATCTGTGCAACATGTTCACACAGAATGAATGCACCTAAGCATGTGGACAGAAAGAATAACTGATGTAGTGAAGGGGACTTTCTATTGTCTTTCTTCGACACTATTGAACTGCATAGCCGCAGAGATTGACTTAAAGATCCTGAGAGACAAGGTCTGCTCTCACCTTCAGGAGCTTAGTGATATTCATTCAGAGGGAGGACATTACAGAACAAAACATACTCTTATTATTCTAGCATTATTATTTTGAAACCGTTTGACCATCCGTGTGAAGGTTTAGTTAGTTGAATCATATTTATTTTGGATCAGAGACTGATTCAGGCAACTGTGATAAGATACCACAAATTCTTCATTGTAGATTAACAGCCCTGAGCAGATGTAAGCATACACATATTTTTTTAAAGACTAACCACTGTAACATTTGTGCTGGGTTTGTTTAATAGTTCTGACCAAAGTGCTACCAGTGTAAATTGGCAGTCAGCATTTGACTTGATATAATATTTTTGACCAAAATATGCCTTCATTTGATGTTTTCTTGCTGAGTGATATTATTCCTCAGAGGTCATATGTGAAGCAACACAGTTTTCAGTTTTCACTGCAAATGTGGTTCAAATCAACCTCCCCAACTGTCCCTTCGAGCAAGTAATTCAAGAGGAAAACCTACTCTTAACAAAAAGTATTATAAGATATTATTATGAGCATGTCTGTTTCAGTGAAACGCAAGTTCAAGTGTTTCCATTTGCATCTCTTTATAGTTGAGCCATAGCCAACCTAGAAATACATTAATTATTTGAATAAATAGTATAGGATGTTTACTGCTGTGGGAAACTCTCCACATCAGTAAAAATGTATGGAAAGATGGTTAAGTTGCCTTCAATTCAGACTCAGTTGAGGGAAACCTATGATATGGTAAATCAACTATGCCCTCTGCTGGATGAAGGAAATGGCACTTTATTTCTGTATGATGCCAGTTTGAATGGATGGGAACATTGTACATTTAAATATTGTCATTTTGACATTCCTCTCCCCGACGGATAACAAAGAGGTCAATGGATGTCAACAGTTTAAATTAGAGCCTCGAAGGAGTGTATGATTTGTATATTAACTGTACATTCAATTATCTGCTATCCATTTAGTGTAGAAACACAGGTACACAAGTTGTGTTAAATTGATCGTACTCAAGTGATTTTTAAAACAAACTAGGCAGGAACAAATCCTGCTTTAAGTATTCAAATCGGTGCCTTTTCATAAACAGTCATTTATGAGAAGGCGTTAAGATCTATGGTTTGGTTGAGACAAGTCTGTACAGAAAGTCCTAATTTTTATAGAGTAAAATATGCAAATACAATTAAGTTCTCAGGTTTTTTTAATGTAATCTTGAAAGCCCTAATGTTTCTGTATGTGAAAATGTTTTTGCTGATGTCAAATCAAAAGGAACAATAAGCTGCATGATCATCTACTTGCACAAAATTTGAGCAATTTCTTTAATACATGACTATTGTATGTACATTCCAAAACACTTTAATTTCTGCATATATCAAACTTTTTTTTTTCTTGTCAAGATGGATCCTAGTTTGTATATCAATGTAATGTTTATAGTTGTACATCTTTTCTTTGAAATAGTGACTGCATTGTTCCAGATACCTAGAGAACGCACAAATAAATGTTTGTACAGGACACTCCGAGTGTGTTCTTTAAAGTTAAAACATCAGTAGACCTTCAACATCATCTTTAAGTGGTTTAATAGCAAAAAGCTTCTTTAGATGTGATGAAAGAACACAGCTGTAGCATCTTTTTGATGCAATTGAGAACTCAGAGATACATGCTTTTACCGTATATCATGAGCAGACTTAAGTGTCACAATAAAGGGATGCCAAGAAATAAATCTCTAAATCAGTGTTTGTGTAAATGATTTTATTTTCACACAGACCAATAACAGAAATGTTCCAACGACCTGTAGAGACAAGTAAAAAAAAGTTTTAAGATTAGAAATTTGACTTGAAAGGCAGTTAGTCCCCGAGATTTACTTTAAATGGGTCTCATTCCCAACAGGCCTTTTTGAGGATATTCTAACCTGTACCCTACTATCAAGTTAACCAGTAAAATTACAAATAGCATCAGTATCAAGCAAATCATGCCTTAAGGAAATGTTTATGAATTAATACAATAAACAGCCCACACTACACAAATGAACATAATAAATTATAGCGAAATGCAACAGCTATTCCATAACACAAACATCACTCAGGTAACACTTTTTTTTCTTCGATCCACTAATAACCTGAATTACGCATTGTAGGTATGATATGCAAGGACAAGTTAAATGCAAATAAATATTTGTCAAACTTAAGAACTGGGCATGTGTTTCAGTCAGGTGCTCACCTAATGTTCTTAGTTCATTCTCCTGATGAGTCTGTTGATCTGGTCCTCCCTATTTCCTGCATCACCTCCCTCGACAAAGTGGGTCGTCTTCTTGTTCATGCCACCACGAGGAGAGGACAGTTTGAATGGCCAGAGGAAGTTGTTTGCAGCCTTGAAGTTCTTTCCAACAGTGTAGATTTCATGAATGAGATCCTCAACACAGATGATTCCACACTGACCTGGATATATACAAATCATGTTACTGAATCCTAAAATGCCCTACTGCAATACCTAATGTTCCATCATGGTGTACACTGCCTGGGCTTACCAAGGGTCTTCTCGATAAGGGAGTTGTCTGTCAGTCCAATGCGCTGTTTTTTTATCTTGCCGAATCCACGCTTGTAGATGAGCTCGCGCACAGATTTAAGGTTGGGGTAGCTGAAAAAGCAAAATTGGACTTCAGCAAGCAGGTAGTTCGTAACACATTTAGGAGACAGTTGCTGCATTCAGAACCACTCTTATTAATTTCACAATATTTTTCCATGACAAAAATGGTAAGTGATATGCTGTTCCAAATTCAGCCATTGTACCATGGCACACATTACATTTTACATGAGATTTGCTAGAACATTTAAGGACAGTTCCGCCAAAAGTTAAAAAGGTCAATTACATGTCATTCCAAACCTATAAAACAAAGATGAACAAATGTCTCATGGGTTTGTAAGGACATGAAGTAACTGATGACAGAATTTTTATCTTTGGGTGAACTGTTTTCCACTGAACACAAAACGAAAAGTACTGAGATAACAGCCACTCTTCTCCATATTAGTAAATGGGGAATGACAGGACAAAGCACCACCAAAAAAGTAGCCCACGTGATTGATTTTCATATTATGCACTATAATAATCTCAAGCTAACAATAGCTTTGAGCAAGAAAAAGCATTCAAATTATGACACCTTTATTAGGTCAATATCAGATGTCAAAGTCAACTGGCGTGTCATATGACGTAACGATATACTCTCTGCTATTTAGACTCTGGAGAACAGATTCCCCATTCACTTAATTATATAAAAAGGAAGCCAGTACATTCTAAAACTATTCTTTTCTGTTTTACGATTAAAAAAATAAAAAGTCCTATTGGATTGGAACCACATGAGAAACTTTCATTTGAGCCAAGAATACACTAATGTTTCGGTAAGATTGTTTTTAGAAGACTCTTATGCTCACCAAGGCATCAAACACATTTACTCACCTTAAGCTTTCAAATAGTAGTGTACCTTGAACCATAAAACGGCTATAAATACACCGTGGACATTGACAATTTTTAGGTTCGACCCAAAACACAGCTTTACTTACCCCCAGGCAATGTAGGGCTCTGCAATTCGGAGCATGTTGATGGAGGCCTTGTTCAGTTTGACAAAGACGCCGTTGAAGATCTGGCGGAGACGGAGCAGCTGAAGCACCTTGCGGACTTTGGGGCTGACACCATTGATACTGAGGATAGACAAGGTATCCCATCATCAACTTTCAAAAGACAGTTTCACTAAAAACAGTATTATGTAGTGGTGGTTTCAGAAGATTTGGCTTATTTTCAAGAGTAATCACCATGGTCGATAAGACGGGGAAAAAAGAGCAACATCATTAACCACAATTTGTGAAGTCTGCCAACAGCATGGCAGGTCATTTGAAAGTGGAAAATTTACCCTCTGATCCTGATCACAAAAGCCAGTTTGGGCTCAGCTGGGACATAGTAGTTGCCTGCCTTGCGAGCCATCCTACTCATGCGGATTTCACGCCTGTACATCTCCCTGTATTCCTTATGGTAAGCTTCAGCTCTCTTGAAGATGAGCTTCCTGGTGACTTTGTGGGCCTAATGGGTGAGAGAAGACACACATTCTCAATTTGGGCTCCATGTTGACGTTTTATCATTAGATTATCTTGACCACGGTTTATAAACAAAGCTAGCAGGTAAAGTATGAACCACCAACCTTCTTGTCAGCAATCGCCTTCTTCAGACGCACGGCCCTGATGGCAGCAAATCGCTGTCGCCTCTTCAAGAGGCTTTCGGGGACTGAGGGAACCTTCTTCTTCCTGATGAGAAATGGTAGCAAATTTAGAACCACATTAGGCCAGCAAACCAGGTTATCATAATGACAGCTAACTCACTTTACATAACAAAAAACAACAACAATGTACATAATGCATGACAGCATAACCTTTCACTAAAGCTTCAAGCTTGTATTCATAAAAACACTAACTTAGCACAGTAACCGTTAGCATCATGCCTTTACCTCAAGTTAGCAGCTAATGACAAATTAATATTAGATCAAAGACTATTCCATAACTCCATAGCGCATTTTAATATGTTAGTACAGAAATACTTATTTGGGTACATTTTAATGTTACTAAATTAACTGCTTTTCCACACGTTGCTCAACCGATTCCACCCGGCAGACTACACGACATTCATATGAAATTTTATTGATTCATCATTCCCCGATCCTCCCAATTTCACCTTCATAACACTTAAACATACACATATTGCTCATATGGACTCCGAACAACATCGTATGAGCTATATTTAAACCGATGGAAGAAGATTCAAATAGCACGGTTTCCAACTTACGCTTCACCCGCCATTATCCCCACAGTAAAAGAGGCTTCTACGCATGCGCGGTGAGGTCTTATAAGGTAGGTCCTTCATACTTCCGGTTAAGTATTAGGTCTCTAGATATACTGCCTGCATTTAAAAAAATTATTACGTATTTATTTTACGTTGAAGAGACTTTCTGGTTGAATTGATATTTTATTCTTAAAATACATTATGTTGCGACCTAGATAGGCTGGTAACAATGTATATATAAATATCACGCAAAAGTTATGACTACTTTGCATAGCAGGCGGACGCACGCGTGGAAAGTTATGAAGTCAAGTGAGTTCGATCCTATTTAAAGAGCCACGAAAACATAGTGGAATGGGCAGATTTCATCCAGTCGAGGAAACGGAGGGTCCCGGATTTTGTTTATTGCTCGACGGGGTTTTTTTAAATTATTTTTTTAAATTGCACATCTGCAGTTTGATTTCTATCTTTGCTGTTGGAACTGAATGTCTCTGTAATTTGTTAGTTTAGTTTGGCGAATGGAAACTCAACGGCACGCGCACATCATCATGAATATCGTCACTGAATTATTCGTGGTCACTTTTAAAATAATCTGGTCGTTTGTGCTGGCCGGTGGTAAATGGTTTATTCGGCCACGGGAAAAGAGTGTAGAGGGCCAGGTGTGTGTTATTACCGGTGCAGGAAGCGGTCTCGGACGGTTGTTCGCATTGGAGTTTGCCCGGAGACGAGCGATCCTTGTTTTGTGGGACATTAACCGACAGGCTAACGAGGAGACCGCTGAGAAAGTGCGTGAAATTTACCGAAAAATGAAGCCGTCCGCTGGTAAGTTTATTAAGCGACCCTTTCTTAGCCATTTTTTTGTAGTCTTTCACAAGATTCTATATTGTAATACTACAATTAATTAATTAGTTTCTTAAAATACATTAGTTAATGCATACATTTGTTCCTTTTTGTTTATTAGTCGTATTTGACGTTAGTTAATAAAATATGTGTACAGTTCGTGTGGGCAAGTTTTGTAATTATTAATTTGTGATTATAACGATATATTTGAAAACGATTAAGAAAGCTGAATAAGTGCTATGGAAGTTCATGTTAAGTGTTTTTTTTAACAACTTTAATCCCAGAATTTCACAGGAAAACTAACCAAATACAACAAACTAAATTACTTTTCTAAAAAGTTTTAGACCTTATTAAAGTGCGTTTTATACTAGTAGCTGAATTTACAGCGTTTTGCTCAGTTCGTTAGTAATAATACCCAATATTAAGAGTCTTTTTGTTACGTTTATTTAACTGTTATGATGAATACATCAACAACCATTTAAAGGGGTTAAATGTTTGCAATACGGTTCTGTTATCAAGTCTATTCTTTAATTATATTTTTCAGGGTCTTCAGATAGTGTTCAAGAGTTGCCTCTGTTCCAGCTGAAAGTTTACACATATTTTTGTGACGTCAGTAAACGCGAGAGTGTGTATTCGACTGCAGAGAAGGTGCGAAAAGAGGTGGGCAACATTGACCTGTTGATCAATAATGCTGGAGTTGTCTCAGGACGTCATCTTCTTGAGTGTCCAGATGAGCTTATTGAAAGGACTATGATGGTCAACTGCCATGCTCACTTCTGGGTCAGTATTAACCTTTGATTCGGTACCATGAATGTCTAGTTTTGTAGACATTATTCACACTTGATAATTTGTGTTCATCTTTTGATTCTATATATTTATATTCACAGACTACGAAAGCTTTTCTTCCCAAGATGCTGGAGCGGAATCACGGACACATTGTAACTGTTGCTAGTTCATTGGGCTTGTTCACTACTGCTGGTGTGGAGGTAAAAATAAAATAAAATCTCTTATGTAGTGTAATGTACTTTGTTGCAAAGATGTTTTTGAAATTCAGTAACCCACACGTTTCTCCTCTTTGTTGTAGGACTATTGTGCAAGCAAGTTTGGAGCCATAGGCTTCCATGAGTCTTTGAGCCATGAACTGAAAGCAGCTGATAAGGATGGAATAAAGATGACGCTTGTCTGTCCTTTTTTAGTTGACACTGGCATGTTCAAAGGCTGCAAAATTAGGTTTGTGTGTAACTAAATATCTTTAATTTACTTCTGATGATAAGACAAGTTCTAATTATAATTGTTACCTTATAATTTTTTTTAAACAGGAAAGAAATGGCTCCACTTTTCCCACCGCTAAAGCCGGAGTACTGTGTAAAACAGGCCATGAGAGCCATACTAACAGACCAAGCAATGATCTGCACACCACGAATCATGTACATGGTCACCTTCATGAAAACGTAAGTTAGTGTAATGTCATGATTCTTGGTTTATTTAATCTGTGTATGTATAATGGTCCATAATCTCTCTCATCTTGCAGCATTTTGCCGTTTGATGCCATTGTGTGCATGTACAGATTTATTGGTGCTGATAAGTGCATGTACCCCTTTCTGGCTCAACGGAAGGAGTCCACGAACAACAATGAATCAAAGACTGGAATCTAACTGGTTCTGACTGAGCAGTGCTGCTAAAATCTGTGTAGTTCCTCTGGAACGATGAAAGCTGTATATTACAGTTTTTCCAGATGACCTTTTGCTGTCAAATTTGAGAATGCAAGAATTGTGAGAATTGAGAATGCAGTTGTATATCACATTTAGCGGTTAGCCTTAATTATTAAATGCTGTCTTACTGTAAAAATGCATAAGAAGGCCTGTCACCTATTTATATGTATTCACTTTATTTGTTGTGTACTGTTGCTTTCCTCAACATTCCATGACTTTGTCACTTTAGAGGTTTTATCCTCTTAATAACTCTACAAAATGCACTACATGTATTGAAAGTATTTCTTTTTGTGGTTTTGATTTGGATAATACCAATGATTATGATGCACAAGATTATCAGACTCAGAGAATGCCATAAGTGCTTATTGTTAAATAAACAGTCTTCCTATAATCATGTACAGTGGTCTATTTCCCTGATTAAAAGGGGGGGGGGGGAGGGGGGGGGGGTTGGAAACATACCTAGTCCATAGGAATATATTTATTGTTTATATGAGTACAGTGCCTTGCGAAAGATTTTGAACTCCTTATATTTTTCACATTTTGCAATGAATGTGGCCTAATGTTAAACTACTTTAATTTTTTTTTTTCACATTAATCTATACTCCACACACCATAAAGACAATGCAAAAAACAGTTTTGTGACAACTTTGCAAATTTATTAAAAAGGAAACACTGAAATGATCACATTGCATATGTATTGGGGTGGTGATGGCGCAGTGGATAAGACACATGCCTTTGGTGTGAGAGACTTTGGGTTTGAATCCACTGCAAGACACCATGTGTCCCTGAGCAAGACTCTTAACCCCTAGTTGCTCCAGAGGCATGCAACCTCTGACAAATATAGCAATGGTAAGTTGCTTTGGATAAAAGTGTCAGCTAAAATGAATAATTTGTAATTGTATTCATATCTTTTTCTAGGACACTTGAAATTTAGCTCAGGAGCACTGAGTGGAGTTAACCTCTGCAAATTCAATTGAATGGGTATGATTTAGAAAGGCACACACTTTTCAATAAAATGTCTAACAGTTGAAAATACAAAAACCAAGCCACAAAGTAAAAAAATAAATAAAAAAAACACACCTTAATTACTTTCTGCTCTGATGAACCTCATTTCCAAGCATAATGTCTAAGTTAGGTTAGGTACACTTTATTGTCCTAATGAGAAATTTGTTTTGGGTTCACGGATACTGCCACTGCAGCACCAAACATAAAACAAACATAATACATAAAAAAAAAAATAAATAAACATTTGCAATCAAGTAGTTGGCCACACACCTCCCGCCACTCAATGTGCTGGAAAGTGATTAGCATCATACCGCTTTATACACTGATATAGAGTAATTGACAGCACGCAACTCTATACACCTGACACTCCTTTTGTTTTGTCTGTGTGCCTTGTTTCATGCTTTCATGTTGTCTTGTTTTGTGTGAACACGTTGCTTATGAGTGTTCTCATTGACTGCGTTTTGTGTTAGCTTGTGGCTTGTGTTTGCATGTTTGGTGTGAGCACATGGCTTGTCTTGTATGTTTCCTTGTGCCACGTGCTCTCCTGTCGATTCTCTAGAATTTAATTTCTCGTGCTATTTATAGCCTACACCAAAAAGGTTTTGATTGACGCGCTTTGACCAGGGCTTTGACACGAGGGGGAGACGATCAAAACATGAGACAAGCTTTAATTGATTATCCAGCTCTGTCTGCTATTGGTAATTATGACTGCTTCTGTCATTTATGATGTTGATTTGAATTACGCTCTGGATTAGTATATTTATGTAAATTGGAATTGTGAGGTTAAAGATTGTCTTCCAATATGGGTTAAAAACTCTTGTCTAAGTTCAACCGAGGGTCTAAATTTAATTACTGTGATCATAAATTATGTGTGATCATAATGGTAATAGTAAAAATAATAGACTTCACGGCAGAGTGACAAATTGGCTAAGTCGCCATAAAAATTATCCAGAGAGCCCCTCAAATTTTATGAAAGGAGGAGGTTGGTGAGGAACATCACTGTTGTTTGACTGTCCTTGACCAAGTCTGTACACCACGACCTGACCTGCTACACACCACTTGATAACTGTGTGAATGTGTTGTTTGTAGACCAAATGACATACCTGAATTGAGCAGGATAAGCTGTAATCACTGAATTTGAAGTGTTAACCTCAGGGTCGTTGCCCTTCCAATTATTCGGCACAAGCAGTAGAGCTTGTGGGCCACACTGAAGTGTGTAAACTGATAACTGGAAAAATGTGTGACAATTTACACAGACTCCTGTTATTCTTTTGGGGTACATTTTTGGGGGGGCGCTGTGAGAATACTGAACATTTAGATTTTTTTTTTTTTTAAGTCAGATGGTCGACCATGCAGCATTAGTGTCAAATTTACTGGATGCTATTAATCGCATTTCTGTCTGTAAGTGAACAGCTCAAATTAACATTTTCTATAGGAAATGCAAAAGCTGCTGCAATGCAAAAAAAGATGTTGTACTCTGTTGACTTGACTTGACTCTTCTTACTCCCTGCAGAGAATGAAATATTTTTCTTTGGAGGCAGAGAAAGATGTCTGGATGAAATCTGGCTGCAGTATTATGACAGTGTTTGGTTTAGTGTTGATGGCAAACCTTGCCCGAACACCATTATGCTAAATTGATGAACAGGTTAGACCATGCATTAAAAGGGTGCATTATGAATGTATGATTTACTAAGGTGGTCACAACATACATTTGCTTAAAAATCGATGAAACAAGATGAAGCAGTAGTGGCAAAAGCACTGTTGACTGAAATACTTTCGCAAGGCACTGTGTATAATTTCAGGGTGAAAATATGGGCTGAAAAAAATCTTCTTATGTAACTGAAAATTCATAAAATTCTTTACAGAATGATTAGGCCCCTTAGGGAAAGGATGTACAAATGAAGAGTTCAGATGCAAAAGCCTCTAAGTGCCATTTGAAATTTTCTTCTAAAATGATCATTTTTATCAAGCTTGTATATTTACGTTCAGTAATTTCACCTAAATGGCAATGAAGATTACCTATTAATTGTCATTTAAGTGAAATTACTGAACTTAAATATACAAGCTTGATAAAAATGGTCATTTTAGAAGAAAATTTCAAATGGCATTTAGAGGCTTTTGCATCTGAACTCTTCAAATATGTTTTTAAAATTGAAAAACAAACAAACAAAAGAGAGAAAACATTGCTGTAAAATTATAATTTCTTTAGCCGAAATGGTGATTCACATGTAAAAATTGTATGTACAAGTAAATTATCCTCGGCCACCCAATCAGTAATATCACCAACACCCCATATGGATATAACTACAAAATGAAAAGCCTAATAAATGAGTATTTCCCTGCCCACTCACTTGCGGAAATACCAGTGACCATCGGAGAGAAATATCAGACATCCTTATCAATGGAATGAGAGAAGCAGGGAATCACATTCAAATCTCATCAGACTGATTCTAAACACATACACTTGTTCCCGGCCTAAGGGAAAAAGGGATTCTCTCAATTGCCAGTGATAGTCAAATCAGGAATGAAGTCACATAATGTTAGAGTTCGGTCTTTAGATCACATCGGCTGCAGAAACATATTTACAATAGGAAGTGTTTTTGACTATGGATACCAATTTAAATAAAGCAAATAATGTTTAATATCAGATTTTCCTGGTAGCCAAAAGAGATACAAAATATAGGAAAGACAAAAAAATCATGATGTTTTTTTCTAATTTTGTGAATGTGATGAAATGATCAGAATGACATTTATGTAATCTTACTTCAGACAGAGGTACCAGTGTTACTAAACTAAACTGTCACAGTCTAACAAAAACCTGGAACATGCACTGACAGTTCAGTGAATAAAAGCCAACAAGTGACGCTTGTCTGTTAGATAACTCCACTTTCAGCCTAAATACCACAAAGCAATAATGAGCCCCTTGTACAAACTCAAAAAGTATGCAGCATATCCCTAATTGGAGATGACAGCACTGGTCTGAAGTTCAATGTGAAGCATCTCATTGTAAGGTGTCTGTGATGTGCTTTCACTGGAATCTGTTGTATCAGTTATTAATCATGCACTGATTATTATTTTGATTCTCTATGAATTACATTGATACATCTCTACATCTTAGCTCTAATGTGGGTGTTTGCAGCAAAAGTCTTAAGAACAATCTAAGTTTCGTTATCATAAAAAATCTTTTTTTTTCTTTCTTCAGATTATTTTATCAAATGAAATAAAGGAAAGTTTTTACATCACTGCCCTGTTATCTCAGTAATGTTGGTTTGGCAACTCATTACAATGACACATGAAAAGCAGACTGCTCCCCTGTGGGGCTCCCCCAAATGTAGGCCCTCTGACTAATAGGTTGAGACCTGCTCTGTTAACTCCCCTGAAAATGAACAAGCATGAGGGATCACAGATCTACAATCAATTCCGTTCTCTTTACCAGGAAATGACACCCACTCCCACGCTCATTTGGATGATACCATTACATCGCCAATGTGATGATGTCACAGCAGACATATTTCAAAAGATCATGAGGAAAATCCTAAGCATTCGTACTCCAGTGGAATTCCGTCTGGCGGAAGATAAAAACCGACGGCTGGATTGTTCATCAGACTGAGGACTTTAGAATCACATCTAAACATTTCAGAAAATAACATTCCAGACTATTTATTTGAAATGAAATGGCTCACTATCATTATTCAGTCATTCTTGATGACTAGTAAACTCATAATCACACTGTAATTACTGATGGTCCCTGTGACTTCATTTCTCTACTATTTTAAAAATAAAAATAGAACAATTCCCAAAAGTAACCTTCGTCTTCTTAGTTCCATTTTGCCTTTCATAGGCCCCAGTCAAAGCAATAAAATAAGCAAATGAACAGTTCCGATGCAAAAGCCTCTAAGTGCCATTTTAAATTTTCTTCTAAAATGATCATTTTGATCAAGCTTGTATATTTAAGTTCAGTAATTTCACTTAAATGGCAATGAAGATTACCTATTAATTGTCATTTAAGTGAAATTACTGAACTTAAATATACAAGCTTGATAAAAATGGTCATTTTAGAAGAAAATTTCAAATGGCATTTAGAGGCTTTTGCATCTGAACTCTTCAAATATACATAGTAAAGTGCACACAACTATTCTATTTATATCCTCTTACTGTTTTAATTGCATTAATACATTGGTATTAATTAATGTTATTAACTGTTTTTAATACCATTTTTAAAAAGTATTGACTTAGTTTCAAGGCATATACTACCATTACATTTTTATAAATATAAATAAATATTATAAATAATTATATATAAATATTTTTAAGCAAGACTCCATTAGTGTCAGTGAAGACTTACACTGTAGCCATATATATATATATATATATATATATATTTCTACAGTAGTCAACATTTGAAATGGATCACTAGAACAGGTATTGTTCAAAATTCATATATATATATATATATATATATATATATATATATATATGTGTATATATACAGCTCTTTTGATTCATCTATCAGAAAATCTTGATCATAATCACAACTGTTTTCAACAGCACAGCACAGCACAACTGTTTTCAACACTGATCAAATTAGAATGATTTCTGAAGGATCATGTGACACTGAAGAGTTTTGTAATGGTGCTGAAAATTCAGTTTTGTCATCACGGGAATAAATTACATTTTAAAACATATTAAAATAGAAAAGATTTATTTTAAATTGTAATAATTTTTGATCAAATGAATGCAGCTTTGCATTAAAAAAAAATCTTACTGACCCATAGTAAGTAGTTTACAGTTTTGCTGAATGTGAATGTATTGTAACTGCTTACATGACACTACTTCCCTCTAGTGGACAGATCAGCATTTAAATGGTGAAGTGTGTAATTTACATACTCTTCTTATACTTAAAACAATCTGTAGACAATTTTGAAGAGAACTTCATTATTCAAACAATATCTGAAGTCAAACAATATACATTTACAAAGTAGTCTAATTAAAATACACAGCATTTCAAAATATATTACTTTAATAAGAACATTTGTTTTAAATAAAGTTAAATAAAGTTAACAAAACGATGAAGACAAAGTTTAGGTTTTCTAAAGCTAACTGCTTGAAAAAGTTGCATTTTTAAAAGAATCTTACCCAGCACAGCAGGATACAACCAATAAATCAAACATATAATTTTAATAGAACTAGATAGATCTTCACATAAAAGATAAAGTGATTATGTCTAAAGTTATTTCTTGTTTTAACTACACAAAATGTGGGTCTATCTATAAAACCAGTGCTTAAACCTTAACCCATAAAGCATTTCTTTGTGTAATTCCAAATTACCTTTAAGATCACGTAATATGATCAACACACTGCATATAAACTGTACATATTCATAAATATGACATTTATCAGAATAGTCATATACACCACACCCAGCTACAAAATTCAACTTAAAATGGCTTATTAGGGGACAAGGACCAAAGGTGCAGGGCATAATTTTGTTTGAAAAGAAACTATAGTTTTTAAGTATACAGATAAAATCTTCACATACATATTTGCCCTGTTCGAATTTCACAGTGCATAACCACGCAAGGAAAAGATAGACATCTGTCTCTGCTTTTGATTATTGAACCATTACATTACAGCAGTTTTCCTTTAAAGGGGTCATGGCATGGATGTTTTTTTTTTTTTTTTTAAATTATCTTAATATTTACCTTGAAGTTCCTTGGGGGGGGGGGGGGGGGGGGTGCATACAAAAAACATACACATATAGATATATACGTGTGTGTGTGTGTAAAAACTGGTATTTTAAACCTTCATTTTAAGGGGCGGCTCCTTTAAGGCTTGTCAATAAACGGCCACTGTTTTGATTGGTTAGGAACAGTATCAACGCCCACTGCACGCGTGTAAATGTTTTGAAAAAAAATATTCATTAGTACACTTTGCCTTGTCTACAAAAGAAAAATGTTCCAAACAAAAATATAACACTCTGACAGTATCCAGGACACCATTTAAATAAACCATCCCCTTGTTTCTGATGCCGTGAAATCTGTACAGAGATGCAAATGAGCTGTAGTAGCAAGTAGGCGGGGCCTATGGTGCGGTGATGTATGAATGTCATCAATGTCTTGCTCTATAGGAAGTCATTTGCAAATATTTGCCCACGTGACGTCACAGGTCACCCAATATCAGAACAAGCCATTTTTTGAGATTGATTTGTTTATAATGGGAGGACATTTCAAGCTATGACATTTTTTAGGATGTTTTAATGGTACAAAAACCTCTATATCAAAATATCACTGCAAATTTGATTTCTTATGTCATGACCCCTTTAATTCCAAACCTACATGAAGATATTATTGCAAAAACGGTAAAAACCCTTAGAAGCTTATGGAAAAAAAAAGAAAAAAAAAAAAAACATTACAACGTAAACCAAATAACCAAAATGGGAGGAAAAAAAGCTTCACATCTTGATTCCATCAAAATATACTTGCCGGGCGGGTTACATTCCTGCAGTTTTATGCACTTCTTGCAGTCAGCAGAAGTGTATGCCTAATCCATACATAAATCAACATCCCATGGTCTGCTGGTTCAGTCTTAACCCAAAGACTGTCATAAAGTACTTGATGCACTTGGAAAAGTTTGTTTATTTATATCAAAATGGTGTTGATACTAGCATGTATCATCTGTAAAAAAAAAAAAGAGACATAAGTATGCATAGAGACCAAAGAAATCTAAGTTATTTGATCATATCTGTTTTAATACAAATTCACATGAAAAGATGTTATTGAGAAGATAATGGGATACACTCACCATGATACCACCACTTAGTTTTCTTTGGATTCTTATTACATGTCTTTACATAAAATGAATTATCTGGAGGACGTCGCTGAAACATCGACAACAAAACAGCTCATTAGACAACCATAATGATACTTTTATACCTTTCTCAATTTGGTTAACTAAAAGGTTAAGTTTACCTTTTCTTTGCAGCTTGACAGCATGCTAATAATGCTTAAACAAACCGATTGCACAGACAGAGCTGGTGACCAGTCTTCCGTTAAAATAGATAAACAGATGTGACCGTTGCTATAGACGTGAGGATGGATGGGTATATTCTCTCCAGTGAACATTACCTATGGAAACAATATTTATTAGCAACAAGCATTTAGCTTTGATACAAAAACACATAAAACACCACCATATATAAGGAGATTCACAATTTACCTGAGGTGAATCAAAAGGATATCGACCACTGAATTTGAACAGGAGTTGAAACTTCTCTCCTTCATAAAGAGTACCTGGAGCACCATCCATATCTATAAACCACCTGGACAAATACAAGAATATAATCATTGATTCATTGCTTTGATTGAAATAAATATAAATTTACCCATTCAATAAAGAAATTAACTGGTGTAAAGGGTTAGTTCACCCAGAAATTTAAATTCTGTCATCATTTACTCACCCTCATGTCATTGTTTCAAAGTCATAAAACACAAATTAATATTTGTTTAATGAAACCTGTGAGATGTATCTCCCTCCATTGAAAGTCCTTTCCACCAACACTTTGATTATTCAAAAAGATCTAGAAAACACATGGTCATGCAAGTATTTGGATTTGTTCAATGTGTGCATGCAGGTCAATGTGTATAAGTGAATGAATGAGCGAAAATTAAATCTGTTTATAAAGCAAAAGTTTCTCTTCAGAAATGTTCTCTTTATAAACAAATTTGGTAACAAGGACTTTCAATGGAGGTTTTATTAAAAATATTTTCATTTGTTTTTCTAAGATGATGTCTTATGGGTTTGGAATGACATGAGGGTGAGAAAAACTACAGCATTTACATTTTTGTGTGAACTGTCCATTTAAAGTCGAAAATGAAACAAAACAATTGACATATTATTTCTTACATAGTATTATGTAGCCTGCATCGGAGTAAATCAGAACATTGCTCAAAACAAGTGGAGGACGATAAATGTGAGTTTGCAGGGGTGGGGTTTAGGTGGACTAAATGATTGGAGAATCTGACAAACGTCACCAGTCTGTTGTTTTCACCGGAAGATCCAGTTATGACATTTGGATTAAACATTACAAGGTCAAATTAAAAAAAAAAACGTGCACAGATTAATAGTTCACAATAAGACCTAAAGCATGCAATTAGAAAATAAATTAATTTTCATGTCAACAACTTTAAGGAAAGGTTGCAAACTGTCTAACTGAACTTACTGCTTGATCATCTTTCACATGTACACATCTCACAACTTACTCAGTGATTGTGTTCTGTACACTTCTCTCATTTAGTGTCATTCCAGGAGGTGGATCACTTTGTAATGCCATCAACTCCTTTTGCAATCGCTTCTGGGAAGTGAAAATAACTTGGGTTAAGGCACAACTGAAAGTAAAAACAGGACGGCCTTCCTAAACTATTAACATTCTAAATTATTAATACATCATTTTAATTCAGTGTGCGTAGTTTTAAACCATTCATCTAAATTAAATTCCAATATCTGGAACATAAAACTAGCAAGCACGAAGCTAACGAGCTAGTCAAACTAACGATTTGCAGTGCTATAAAAACTAGCGATTAAGCACCATTGCCATTGTTTACAGCTCCGGAAGAACTCTGCTACATAATAATTCCCGTTTCACATCCCGTTTATAAGTATCGTCTTCCACCGCTACAACTGTGATGTGACAGAGTTTTTTTGGGGCTGTCAGACTGACTGAAGGTTAGCTTACAAAGTAAACAAATGTGCGTACGAATGAAACGGCTGACTGTCCTGTGTTCAGATTACCACAGGCAGGGACACAGGACGAAACCCGGTACGTGTCACAGCTAAAAGCAGAAAGAATGTTATATGAAAATGCTTGTGTGTGTAGGGAGATATTCACCTGCATAGACGCCATGATGGAAAGCCCCTGTAGAGAGGCGATTGGCTGAATGACGTCTAATCAGGTTTTTCACGGAACCGCAATGCAACAACATTCGGTTTGAAACAAGGGTACAGTGGCACTACAGGTGAAAATGCTCAAATCCTCTTATTTTACTGGTTAAAATAGTGTAAAAGACTCTTTTAATAAGAAACTAACAAACCATTTGTTTTGAAACGTGATGTTCAAACTACGCGAAGTATGCATCATTTAAATGGAGAGAAAGAAGCGTGTTGCTATCTGGTTGCTATACATGCCAGCGAATATTACCAGAGACTATTGATATTACTTTGTTATTACTCATGGTGATGCTATTTTTGAATGCCCGTTTATTATTATGTACATTGAATTAATCGAACGTTCCTTCAGTTATAGCACAGGAAAAAAAAGACTGTTTGGGTGTATATCTATGGGGTAACTTTAACCTGCCATTCAACATTTTCAGCTAGCCATTTTTTCTAACGTTATATGTAAACTGGAAAAAAGCTAAATGTTAAAAGGCAACACGAAAATGTCACACTATTTTTGTGACCAATAATATATGATTTTAAATACATATTTATATAATGTTATATATAAAATTTAATATCATTTAAATATGTAATATAGACCTGTTAATTAAGTATTAATTAGATATTTTATTAAAGTTTGTTAACCTCCCTTTGCTATTATAGTAAAACTACCTAGACTCATCCCTTGGTGTTATTAACTTTCAAAAAATATTTGTAGATGCAGTCACCCATGGAGGACAGAAAACAATGTTTGATTCAAACCCTTATTTTGGAGAATTCACTGTTTGAAAATTTAAGTGCACAAAATCTCCAAAAAGCAGAATTAAACGAATGAACAAAAAAATTTCAAGAACAACTGAATTTATTCATTAAACAAATTAATGACTACTGCGAGCAATTACAAGATTTCTGTGTGACGAATCCACATGCAGAAAAGGTATGAGAAATCTATTTCAACTGAATTCTAGGTATGTAGCCTACCTATGAAGTTGGTTCACAACCCACCATATAACCAAAAGAAGAACAAATACATTTTTAACTTATCACAAATAGATACATTGTAAAACTACATGTCTGTTTGGTTGACTCTAGACATGAAAACATTTATTAGGAATTCATCACTCCAGGCATCTTTATTTTGCAATACAGAAATTATGTAAATTTATGCTGGGTCAAAGCTTAAAACAATAAAGTAAAATAAAATAACTTTATTTGTAAAGCAGTTACAGTTTAAATAGAACAAGGAACCAAAATTTATACCTCTCATTCAGCACAGTATACCTCTGTTTGCAAACCTAAATTTAAAACCAATAAAATAAACCAATAATAATTTGCTTTTCATATTTATTCTGCAGCCAGACGTGTTTATGAGTGTTTCTTTTTTTATGTTTAACAATCTAAGAAGTTGGCAGCCATCAGAAGCTCCAGCGCTATCTCTGGGGCGATAGGAAATTCAGGGATTTCTGTTGAACTATTAGTATAGCGGACTTTGTATGTAAAGTACATGCACACTTTAGAAAGAACGTGAGATGGGATCTCTCGAAAGTTGACTTCATTCGTTTCATTCTCAGCAAACTGGCCTGAAAAAACAGAGATGCAATGTTACTATCACATTAAAAAACACAAATTAAGTACCAATACAATACACACTTACAACATTTAAAATGACACATTTAAAGAATATGTGGAATAATTACTGTTGGGCAAAATTCAGGAAGATCCTATTTTTAGATGCAATTCAAATTTTATTAATTCCCTTTGGTAACTAATACTCACCAGGACCACTAAGCATAGCTTTGATTGTTCCAGATGTCAGAGCATGTTCTCTCTTCACAATAAACTCATGGCCATCAGAGGAGATTAATTTCACATACATGGCATCTGGCCCTTCACAGCCACCATAGGTCTTTTCTTCTCCATCTACAATGTATAAATTTGATCATACACTCGAACTACCAACATAACATACACAGAAATACATCATACAGACATCCCTTAATCCAAGTAATGTATGGTTTATTCTCCCAAGTAGTTAATTCATTTGTTTTTTTTTTTGTTTTTTTTTTTAAAAACTTAGAAAACCTTACCCATTTTTACTGCCTTCCCTTGTCTCTCTCTCTCTCTCTGAAATATTAAGAGAAAATAATAGTTACTTACCACGTACAATGTAGCGGTAGTAACAACGCACATAATGTTCATGAAAAGGGCTGCTGAAACCAAACAAGAACCACATGTGATCTGATTTATATTGAATATATATTTTTATTAATAATAGGCACAATAATAAAAACAATCCACGAGTCGTGATGCAGTCTGGGTCATCCATGCAAGTTAGAACAGTAAATCATAGGGAATGAGTTTTCTTCCCAGTAAGCTCAAGGAGCACTAACGTTATGTACAAATCGTGTTTTTCAAAAAAAAAAAAATTCAGTAGACAGAATTCGCACGAATAAAGATTAAATAATCATAATTAAATACAAGAGGTATTGTCTCACCTCACTAAGATTGAGCTGGTCAGGGCAGTTTTTTTCTGTTTTCTCTCCGATGAGCTTCTGGCAACTGCTTCTGTTGTCAGTGCGGACAACAGGAAACAATTGTCAGGCAGAGAATCCATACACTTCCGTTATAGATTCTACAAATTTAGAGTCCTCCTCAATATGCTTTAATAATTAATATCACATCAGACTTGCATGCTTTGGTTGATTTGACATTAAATTATAATGTGTAAGATATATACTTCTTCACATCTATGAGGTTTTTGTTCAGTTCATCATCGATTACGAATCTTTTACTCGCACGTGTGTGCTCGCGCATCAAATTGCTTCCGGTGCGTTGTCATTTTGCTATCTAAGTGGGAAAACTCCACATGATATAATGTATCAGTTTGGGATTTTGCAACGGTTGCGGCGTCTCTCAAAAATCCAAGAACAGATCATCAGAAAAATCCAAGTCGGTGTTCGTCCGGCATCACACAGCCGTGGGAGTTTTTGCCACCCTCATGCTGTAGTTTTAAAGAGGCAGGATAATTTGCTGCATGTGAATCCAAGGTCACTTTTAAAAGACCATGCAAACAAGGTACATAGTAGATTGCATTTAAATATGCCGTTTGCTTGCTGTTTACCTTTCTGTAAATGGTACGATTGTTTCTGTACATTGTTTATTCCTGGACAGCTCATTAATTTGGCTTAGCACAGAAGAACATGGATTCTGTAAATAAACATAAATTGTTCTATTTAAATATTGATTTATTTTTGTTTGTTTCATAACTTAATTTATTATATTGAAGTGTTTCTGTAAATCTGTTTGCGACATCTTAACTGAACTATAATTAAAATACGGATTAATTTCTTTTAATGTAGGCTAAATAATAATAATAAAAAAGTTGTTAATGTATATTTAACTGAGAAGTGATTACAGCATCTCAGTGTTTAAAAGTGTTACACTTGCAAGGGTTAGTCCACCCAAAAATCAAAATTTGGTCGTCATTTGCTCACCCTTATGCCGTTCCAAACATGCAAGACTTTACTTCATCTTGGAAACGTAAATAAAGATATTGTAATGAAATCTGAGATATTTCTGTCTCTCCACTTACAGTCCCTCCATAACTCCATCACATTGACGCTTCAAAAAGTTATACGTGAATAAAAGCCTAAATTGAATCTGTTCATCATATAAATCTATAGAGTCTCTTCGGAAAAGTTTGAAAATTAGTTTTACAATCTCTTTATGAACTTTTTTCAGGTGAACTAACCCTTTAATTGTTTTGTTTGTTTGTACTTTAGGTTCAACCATACTGTGCTGTTCGATGGTATACATCCTCACCAGTCCAGCCTGGAGATGGAGAATTAATCTACACAGGCAGTCTGGGGAAAGCTGTCCTCGGTAAATTACCTGCCATATATAGCACTTACATAATTTATACTTTCAAAATACAATGTGAACTACCAAACTGATATAGTTATCATATCTGATGTATGATCTAAATCTGCTCCTTTGTTGTAGGTGTGAAGTTCTTCTCCTACTCCAGCAGTATGTTCAGTCTCTGTGTGATGCCATATGTCCTTATGAAAACAGGCATTGGTGTGAACAGCTTGGCAGTGCAAGTGGCTTTCTGTGGCTTTATAGGTTTCTTCACATTTCTGACTCCTATTCTGCTCCACTTGATCACCAAAGGCTACGTCGTACGCCTGTACCACAACAAGGAGACCGACATGTACACAGCCATCACTTACAGTGCCCTTCTAGTGGAGAAACGGACTGTTTTCCATCAGAGTGATGTCATTATCCCTGATGTGAGCAGGATGTTCACTAGTTTTTACGCCAAGAAACATTCAATGCTGGTCAACCCGATGCTTTTTGCTCTGCCCAACGACTACAACCACCTCATGGGTTACGACCGGCCCTTTTCCTTCAATACAGATGACTTGAACAAACCAGAGAAAAGTTAACTTGTCCACCAACATTGGATCGATTTAGCTTGTGAAACCAAGATGTCTACATTTCAATGGACCGTTGTTGTGTGTTAAATATTAGCAGGAATGATATGTCATCCAGTATATTAGTGATGTAGAAACTTGTATCAAAGTGTAAATAAATGGATATTTACCATCTGCACACCCTATCTCATTTCCTTTCCTGATTCATGATTTTATCTTGTGGCCCAACATTTTTCTTCCTTGTTCTCACGGCCATAGCCATTTATTGGGGGAACAACCAGTGACCTATCTATCGAAAGAGGATGTTATACTGAAG